CTGCTATTCACGAAGCAGTTACAATGTCAGAACCTCAACGTACTTTAAATCATCAGAAACTATATCGATACGTAACGAGATATACAGCCGCTTATTGGGGCACGAGCTTTGTTAATGAATTGAGGGTAATTATAAACAACGCCAGCATTCATCTCATGTAATTCACTCATTTAATTATTCCGTTTAATGATTCCCCGGAAAAAGCGTGTCAGCGAAGCATTTTCACCACAAATGCAAAGTCCACGCTTGTCTCCAGACCTTGTTCTAAGCGCTGCAAACGCGTCCAAAAAACATCGTGTCATTTTTCTCGACTACGACGGTACTTTAACCGAAGCCCACAAACTACCCGAATTCGCCAAACCAAAGGATACAATCACGGCGACTCTTCGCGATCTTCAAAACCAACCGAACACACACGTCTATATTCTCTCTGGCCGAAGTCAACATCACCTCGATACATGGTTTGAGTCGACTGGTGTGGGTCTCTCGGCTGAACACGGCTGTTTCTACAAGCATCCGAAGTCATTGAGAGGTGTCATAGATCCAACCGCAAATTCCGCTGCTGAGGGGAAATCATTGAAGGAGGAAGGCAATGGGTGGTATAGATTAGTTGAGCAGGTTGACCCAACGTGGAGGGAGACCATCAGGCCGTTGTTTCAACATTATAAGGATAGGACTCCTGGCTCGTTTATTGAAGAAAAGGAGATTAATTTAACGTGGCACTATCGTAACGCTGATCCCGAGTTTGGATCATGGCAGGCGACGGAGCTTCAAGTTAATTTGGAAAAGTCACTGATCCATTTGGCACTGTCGGTAAGTAAAAAAAAACAACGAACTTTTGCCAAATGGGAAGGGAGAGCCGCGTCCTTTGTTGGTAACATTCGTTCTTACAAAAATCATTCATTCTCCTCATCAAACGTTACTTGCTTTCTTAGATTGTGCGTGGCAATAAGACGCTTGAAGTTCGTCCGTCCACAGTCGACAAAGCAACAGCTGTCCGTGCCATTCTTAAAGACTTACAGCAGACACAGAATCATGTTGATTTTATTTTATGCATAGGTGATGGAAAGACGGATGAACCTGTATTTGCCATGTTGAAAGAAATGGCTTCTGACTGTATTACGAGTACTGTTGGTAAAAAGCAGACGGAAGCTAAATACTATATTGATAATGTGAAGGACGTTGAAAAACTGCTCGATGCTCTAAGCAAAAAGCTACATTAGTAGAAAGTCATGTGGGAGAAATCTTCAAATTTAGGGTTATAAACTAAAAAAAGAAGCAAATAGAATCAATAAAATTATATTATTCAAATGCATGCATGACACAGAAGCCAATCTCATCTGCGACCAGATTACTCACTATATTTCAATGGAATTTTCAACTAGTCTTTCTCCAAGTTTATAGCTGTCCCAAACTTGCCATAAAGGACGGTTTTCAGCTGTTGCATTTTGTCATTCATAGAATCTAATTGATTCCTTAATTGTTCCACTTCCTCTGTTAATTGTGATGCCTCTTGCTCTAATCGGGATTGGACTTCAGAAAGTGGAAGCAAAATGAAAGCGTCGCCTATTTTATATCTGACATTTTATATGACATATGAGCATAGAGCGCAGTATATTGCAAAATCACCAGGTGCAAGGGCTATATTACTACCAAGCATTCATTCTGAACAGTAATGACGTTGATAGGAAGATAACAACGATATTGCCTATGATTATGGTTGTATGGTTATGAAGCTAACCTAACCAGCTCATCCTCATCGACCAGTTCTAGTTCTAAGGCCAAGTCATCAATGTATTCTTTTTCTTGCTATATATTATCAAGTAAATGGATCACCATCAATCATTAACTGCAATAACACTAACAGGCTGCAATATCTCGACATTTTGCAAAAGTTACCTTTTTATGTTCATATTGCTCTTCTATATCGTTGTATTTGCTGACTAGCTTGCTGAAAGAATTAATGTTCTGTTGGTCCTCCCAAGTAACTTCAGCGTTAACCTCTTCGTTTTCTTTAAGCTGTGTTAGTTCGGGTGATTTTATTGTCGTCATTTCAACTTGGTTTGAGGTGAGAAATTAAGTAGGATGTTTTGTGTAAGAACAAAGACGTAATGTTTACCATGCGCATTGTAAAAAGTGGTCTGAATATGAAGGCTGGTTAGACCCTGGAGAATTTCAGCGACGGATTCTCAGATCGTGACTTGCATATCACAATCCGGTTGGTTGGTTGATTTAGTCATAGTAATAGTAATAGTAGTAATAGTCATGTGATTAACGATTAAGTCAAAATATGCGAAACCAGATAATTCATTTCCATATTAATTCATTAGTGATAATAGAAATTTTAATTTAGAGTTTTCTATAACTGATAAATAGTAATAATAATGCATGTCTTACTTTTTTTGGACATTATCTTGTATTCTAAAGGAAGATGCATATTTGCATACACACACGTATACTTTAAAAATTGCTTTCCCCAGAAAAAAGAATGTCATATAATATTCTTATACAACGTATTCTGAATCTCCGCAGTAAACGAAACCCGAGATAAAATCACGGGTTGATTACAAATCATCTGACCGTATGTTTTCCAATTTTACTTTTCGCGAATTTTTTCTTTTTGAACGTTATTGCTTTTTATCATGCTCTCATGTCGATTTGTGAGAAGGACGTATGAGTGGCACCGGTTAGCTTATCCAATAGCAAGGAAAATTTGGCATGCAGGACAAAGTAGAGAGGCTTCGTCGCTTGTGGCGCCTTTCGATAAGTCTGGAAAGGTTTTGTTCATGTTGACATTTTCATTTTGTTCGTGGTATTTAAATAACATTATTAACGTTCATGTACGAATGAATAAAGACGGCTTTGGGCAAGAACGCTGTTACTCACGTAACCACTCTATCTAATGGAATACGTGTTGCAACGGAGAATACACTTGGCCACTTTTCAGCAGTAGGCGTGTTTGTCGACGCTGGTTCGCGATACGAGACACCTCGTACTTTGGGTGTTAGTCATATACTAGATCGAATGGCTTTCAAGGTTATACAAATAGTTTTTTAGAATTGAAACATAAAATTAATAGTCAAGATTGATTTCACTCGCAATTTCAGTGCTACTTAAATGCTAGTGTGGGATAAATGCTAATGTTAGATTAGAATGCTAGTGTTATCCTTCATTTATTGCTCACTCATATTCTCTCCTATCTACCAATTAACAGAGCACAAAGAACAGAACGTCAGCCCAATTGCAAAATGAATTAGAAGCATTATGTGGTAACGTAATGAGTTCAACGGGCCGTGAGTCGATGATCTATCAAGCAGCCATATTTCCAAAACGTCTCCCAAAGATGATGGAATTCTTTGCAGACGTGATAATTAATCCGCTCATACTTCCGGAAGAACTGGAAGAACAACAACAGACGGCACTCTACGAAATCAATGAAATTTGGCAAAAACCCGATATGATAATACCCGAACTAACACATACGGTAGCATTCAATAACAATACTTTGGGGTTTCCAATGCTATGTTCGGAGGAGAAACTAGCCGTGATGAAACCACAAATTATTCGGGAATATCTTGAAAGGTGGTATCGACCGGAGAGAATAGTGATAGCAGGAGCAGGAATCGAACACAAGGAAACGGTAGAATTGGCGGAGAAATATTTTGGAGCAATGCATAAATCAGTCGGTCTTACTCATCGAACTGTAGGGGATTCTCTTCTCGAGACCACTGCTGGCATAAAACCGGCAGGAAAGCCTTCCTTATACAAAACTATTACTACAGCTGCGGCATCTATATTACAAAGCGACCATTCATCGTCTCCTCTATCACCCGCTTATGAGAAAGCTCATTACACAGGGGGGACTCTCTTCCTCGACGAACATACACTTCCATTTACTCATATGTACGTTGCATTTGAAGGTCTGTCTGTACATGATCCAGATATATATATTCTTTCAACATTACAAATGCTTCTTGGCGGAGGAGGATCGTTCTCGGCAGGTGGACCAGGAAAGGGATTACATACTCGCCTATTTAAACAAGTATTATCACAGTTTCAGTGGGTAGAGTCTTGTTTGTGTTTTAATCATTGTTATAATGATTCTGGACTATTCGGTATCATGATGTCGTATCGTCCCGAGTATAATTGTTTTGCTGCAACGGTTATTGCGGAGCAATTTAATGCAGTTACTAATTTAGGGAGCGGGTCTGTGACTGAGGATGACTTGATAAGGGCAAAAAATCAGCTGAAGAGTAATTTATTGATGAATTTCGAGTCTAGAATGGTACAACTTGAAGATATCGGACGGCAGGTGAGTAGTGAGTAGACAATGCCGTAGTTCTATATTGTTAGCCTTGCTAACTCGTGTTATCCTTGCCTAGGTTCAACTTAATGGATATAGGATTCCAGTAGAAGAAATGTGTGAAAAGATAGACAAAATCACTCTGGAAGATTTAGTGCGAGTGGCACAGAGAGTATTCAGAGGGAATGTTTATAATGAAGGGAATGGTACTGGTGCCATCACTGTTGTGGTGCAGGGTAATTTACTTGGTCTACCTGATGTTGAGAAAGTATTGGAGACCTCTGGACTTGGCAGAAGTAGATCACGGTTTATTTGACAAGTTTTGGTATAAGTAGTAGTGTATTATAATATGAATAAATAGCAATAGAAAGAGTATGAGTAGTACAAGCCTTGTTATCGTTGGGAGAATGTAACGGTCTATAGTGTAGCTGATTATTTTTGATAGGTTGGTTGGTTATCTTGATGTTTTGTCCATATCGAATAACGGCGAGAGTATACTTGTTCTGTTTGTCTCTACAATGCATCCATTCAATACCATTTCATCCAAAATAACATGAATTTTCTCCATATTGAACATTATATCTAATTCACACTGAAACGGAATCAAAGTGCTTGGTTAATGTATAGTCATATAAGATCAAATGGGTTCAATTTGCATCCTACTTACGACATTGTCAAAGTACGTGTTTAACGTCTCTACACAAATAGTCACGAATTGTCGACATTAATAGTTAACAATACAATAACAACTGCTACAACAACTCACCAACAAATGCTTGAACGAATTCAAGAATAGCAAATTCATTCTACAATGTGGGAGATAGTACAATTTATCAATACGTACACCAAACGGTTCAAATATTTTCTTGCTAGCATTCCTTACTCACCTCATCTTCCTCAAACCCAATCACAAAGAACAACGAGGCATATCTTCTATATGCTAACATACGAATAGTGCATTAAAGAGATATTAATGACTCATCATCTGCACACAACTATACTCACCTATTTTGTATGTCCTATACTCAAATAAAGAACACTATAGGAGAGTTAATGCTTGAAAACGGAGCGTGTGATGGCGAATCAAAATCTTAAATACCTGCTTTTCTCCACGCTTCAAACAGCGGCGTGATATTTCTGCTTCCATGACTTCTCTCTCTTCAGATGGTACGGGAATCTCTGTATAATATCTAGAGAACCGCGTTTGGCCTTGCTTATTAACAAGCAGAAAGAAACGGATCATTTGTCAAGGTAGGTTCGGTATATGGAAGATGACAATGTGTTGCGATTTTTATCCTGAACGATAATGATTACCATTGGTCAACAGAAACCTATATCTAAATAGTCATTATCCTATCAAAAAGGAAGCTAAGAATTTTTTTAGTCCCACCTAAAGAAAACTCACCGTATCTAGAGAATGGGAACTTATTATCAGACTATAAGCTCATGAATGCATCTGGACACATTAGGAGTGCATCTGTGTCAGGTTTATTATAAACAGCTTGAATGTTAGTCATATTTTTGTAATACTTAAAAAGCCACATAATAGTAAGCGTCTAGTTTTGAAGTTTTTTGGGGGTAATCCCTCAAATAGAAGTTCACATACCGTCTATTGTCAAAATTTTTGAAAACGAAGAAAAGTAAGAGTAGAGGGTATAGTAATTGTAACTTGGAAGCTTTTTTAGTATGGTGCACGCAGTCTAAAGCCACCACTATTTATCACGTGACTTCAAATGAATAGAAAAAAAAATTGGATGAATATCTTTCTGTAAAATGATAGTTTATATGGTACTCTTTTATGTAACAGAAAGTTTTTTTAAATTGGATTACTGTAGCATAAAATATATAAG